CAAGAAAGACCTCAATGATTACTAGATCAGTGGTTATTTTTAATTTACAGCACTACAGATCTTCCGGATGAGTAAGTAAATGGACAAGTCCCTTCTGCGTGCACCCTGTGACTAGAGAAATGCTTCGCTGAATCCTTTTGCTGATTAATCTGCAGAGAGAAAGCTCTTGCCCTTTTAGAACATTTCCAGTTTAGGCAGGAACTCATGCATATCAAGAGCCTTTACCAGAGAGCCTAAGGTGCCTGAGGGGGCAGTGATTGCTTGCGGGGAGGACACCAGGGGAGGATATGTTCAGGGTTGAGGATTTCACTGAAGGAGCTAGGCGTCCTCTCCCAGGCTTACCTCTGCCCTGTTCTTTTCATCGACTTCTTATTCCTCAGCAAATATCTTCAGTGTATGCATGTGCCAGCAAATTAGAGAACAGGCATCCTTTCTAGATACAATCTCTGTGACCTTTTGGAATTGGCACACCTCTCCTAGAGCAAGAAGGTGAACCTCTCATTTGTTTGGTATTTGAGGTATTTCCTGGGAAAGCTTTGTCCTCCTTCTTGTATCTGTGCTGGGCACAACCGGGATGCTTTCTGCCCTTACGTGCTTCTGACTGGCAGAGACTGGGCTCTGGTTGGAATGCAAAGGTAAGAGGTTCCACTTGTCAGGGCAGCACCTAAGGTCCCCTCTGGACTAGCAAAGCCAGGAGATGAAAAACTGAAGAGTTAAGGTTGTCAGGAAAAGCTGCTGACTCTCTTTTGTTTCTAATGTCTTGAGGTTTACATCAGCATCAAATCAAGTTCATCTCCTGGCGTTTCCGATGTCAGAGTTTCATTTTGAATCAGTGCCGCAAGTGAAATTCATTCCGATTGAATAGGGTCATCATAACTGGCAGGTGGCTGGTAATTCTTATTTAAACACATGACTTGAAATTACTTAGTTTCACGAGCTACCTTGAGCTGAAAACCAGGCTTAGCCCACCCAGTGCTCCACATTGTGGTTTCAAGACAATGAGCTTCCAGCGCCAGCAGCATGTGCCACTAAGTGGCTGCAGGGATGCAAAACTGTGCCTTTGGATGACCAGAGCTGATCCTGTAATTTGCTTCAAGGGATGCCTTCCTTTTTTTCCAGAAGTGTACAGGAAAGCCAAACTTTCTCACTGCTCTTCCCTAACTACCCACCATTAGTCCATTAAGGACAGACATATTTTAATTGAGTTAACCCAGATGTGCTGGGAAGGACAGATTTTTACCTCTGACCAGGTGTTAAAAAGGCTTCCCAAAGCCATACCACAAACCTGTACCAATGGGGCTGTGGGGAAGAGGAAGGGAAGAAAGATCATACAGGGAGTTCTTCACAGAAATAATTCAATTTTAAAAGCTCGCCTTTATTCCAGACTCATGCATTTAAGGAGTTAAATAATCCTGTATGTGAGTGTGCGTGCCTTTGTCCATTTGACACTACAATGTCTACTGACGTAAGAAGTGATGGTCACCAGAAATGTTACTTTTAAAAAAATGTATTCACAAAATAAGTGAAGAACTGTGTTTATTGTTCAACATTACACTGTCTGAAAGAAACCTTAAAGTAGGCAGAATTCCTAGAGTATGGGATTTGTTGATAAGAGGAACGAGTCCCCTGGCTAGTGGGACAGTAAAGGGATAAATTAGGGTGAAAGGTAAGAATGGAGCGAGAATTGTCTGGGGCCTGAAGGATGTACAGTGTGGGGAAGGGGTGAGAACAACATTCCAGAAGCCTGAGAAGCTGGATGGGGCACCGGGTCCGGGGCAGCTAGAGTCCCCAGGAGTAGAGTGCTACAAGGAAAGGCCACTAATCTCACCTACAGATGGGTCATCTGTTTCCCAGCTGCGGCCAGGACAAAACCCTCGGCAGCACAGACATTCCCAGCACCTGCAAGCCCTGGAGGAATTTTGGGTTCTTCTCCTTGAACTGGTGTGAGCAGGACTCTGCAGTCACCTTGCACACAATCTCTGCCCTCCCCCACACCTCAGAGCCTTGTTTCTTAGAACTCTGTATCTGTGGGCTCAAAGTTCACAGTAATCTTGAAGACATCATACCCAAGACGTCTGGTGAGCTGGCAAGGTGCAGAGGCCCAGCCCGCCACAAGGCTGGCGCTGGGCCACGTTCTGTGTGTAGTAACTGGGAGGGCAGATCACAGTGGCCAAGGGGGCTCTGCAGAGGAACGGTAGGGTCTGCAGTTCAGTGAGAGAGAAGGCTGGGCCCCTCACAGAGGCAGTGACAGCTGGTGGCTACAATGAGTGCTGTTATACACTTGAGGTAGTTAGAGGCGGAAATAATGAAATTATTTAAATACACCTGAGTCCACTTTAATATTGTGCCTGTTTTTGAGAAGGGGCATCAACCATAGACAGAGTCGAACTGATACTGAAAGTAGACAAGTTTTTGAACTGTGGCCTTCCTTGCTTTGGCTGCTGGGTTCGTTCTCAGGATAAATTCTATCGAGAGCTATTGGAATATTTACGATCTCATTGTTCCTGTGGGTCAGGAGTCCAGGAACAGCTTAGCTGGGTGCCTATGGCTCAAGCTCTTTCATGAAGTTGTAATCAGGCTGGGCTCAGGTTGAGATAAAGAAATCTATCTCCAAGCTCACTCTTAGGGCCCTTGGCAGATCTTGGGGGCCTTCTTCCAGATGGGGCTTCCCCAGAGGAAACGCAGAGGGCTCACAACATGGCAGCTCATGGTCCAAGAGAGCCAGACAGCACTGAGACACGAGTCTGGCCTTCTTGCAGCCTGGTCTCAGACGGGGTATACACTGTTTTTACCATATGCTGTTCATGAGAAGGGAGGTACCTGGTCCAGCTCACACTGAAGAAGAATCGCACATGGGCCTGACTACCTGGACACAGCCATGACTTGGGAACCATCTTAGAGGGTGCCCATTCCAGCCACTCTCCTTGCCTTCACGTTAATAAGAGCAATAACAGATGATATTAACCTAGCAGGGCTGCTGTGAGAGTCAGAGAACAAGGACCAAAGAAGAGCTTTAGAAACAGCTGCTGGACAGGCAGTGTGTTCAGAGGGTCCTTATCCCACCCTCAGATCAAACTATAGAGGCCAGAAACATGCACTTTAAGAGAATTTCAGGCACATATCAAGCATAGTAAGACTTAAGAACTACTTACATAATTTTCTTCCTCTAAATTAGGAAGGAAGAAGGCAAGGAAATTAGATAAAAATTGGCTGCAAGGGAGGTAAGAGGCAAAATTTTCTAATCCTTAGCCACTCCTCCTAGGCCCTGTCATCTAATAACATTCCTGGGCCAGGTCTGTGCACAGGGCAGCTATTAGGTAGTGGAAACCGTGGCAATTGCAATTTCCTTTCACCAACTGAACCCCACTGGAGCCGTGCCTGTGCCCACTCAGAGTCTGTCATCACTCAGTATGATTGACATCCCACCTCCACAGCTACCCTCTACCCTACGGCAGCCTAGGAAGCCAGGCTGCCATGCGAGCCCTCAAAACAACAAACAAAAAAAACATAAAAAACAACAACAACAACACACGTATTTGGCAAATGACTGGAAAATACATAAACATTTTGATTAAACTTAATGCACCCCAAAGCACCACTCATTGGGCTTTCTCCTTAACAACTATAAACATTCATTATTTTACCCAGAAGAAAATGGACTTGTGTCTAGCTGCAGTTCATGGCAGAAGGAAAAGGGTGATTATGACCATCAAATCACATTATCAGTAGCTGGAAGGCATGGTGAGATTGCATCAAAACAACCCCTTTCATGCCAGAGAATCATCCTCAAAATACCCCTCCCATAGGTAGTCCCTTACCTCATTCCCAGGCAGTCTAAACTTTATCTTAGCCCTCATAATTATTATATATATATTATATTTATAGGTATGTACATATAATGTTTCCTGTTATAATTTTTAGCCTTTTCTCTAATTCTGACCATTGGGGAAATGAAGAACTGATGCTCTCACAGCTTTTAATATTTATCATGTTACTGCTCAGCTTTGTCCTGCCAGCAGAGGAGGTAGGGACACACGTTGCTGCTTTTTAGCTTTTTCTGCTTTTGATCTGCTTGGCCTATATTTTTGCTAGCAGGCAACCTTGTTTTTATCCAAGTAGATTAGGACTGTAAATTATATTTGTTTTTATCCAAGTAGATTAGGACTGTAAATTTTATTTGGGCAGGCAGAACTGAAATAACACTGTTTATTTTTTACAAATCCTACCAACAAGTGTTGGGTTCTAACAAGATGGTAATTAAAAATTACAATGAACCATTCCTATTGCCGCTTAAAAATAAGAAATGTACAAACTTGACTTTGGTAGCTGGTCTAATCTGAGCTTTGATGAAGATTCCAGAGATGCTGAGAATGACAATCAGAGAAAGTATTTTTCTTCCCTACTTTTGACTATGTGCATAAAAGGCCGAGGTTTATAGATAAATTAATAAGCATTTCCAAGAATTGTAAAATGTACCGAATAGTCTTCCAAAGCAACACCGAAATTAAATTCAGGTTTATCCATCATTTTTATCTGTTGCTTCTTTATGGTATCTCTGGGGAAGGTGGGTAAAATGCAGTCCTCATTTTAGACAGGAATGTGACATTAAGAATTTGCCAGTGGTGACTACCAAGGATGTAACAAAGCCAGAACTAGCATTTGTGCTCCTGGCCGGTAGCCCCAAGTTCTTTACACTTAATATCATTCTAAAAACAAACACTTCACACTGATTACACTTCAACATACACTGTAGATGCAAGAATGTGATATTTGCTGTTTTCATTTGTGTTCAGTGCTGCGAAATTTACTAGCATTGCATAACCCACAGTGGTTTAAATAAGAAACAACCCCCTCCAAAAAACCCTACTGCTACATCTGAGAAAACTATCTTCAAAATTCCACCAGTGCTATGCCAGCTTAGACAAAACTTCCTCTTGTGTCCAGAAGTAACAAGCCCAGCACAAGCCACGAAAACAAGTGACCAAGCCCATCTTACTTACAGGTGGACAGAATCATGGCTGTCTTTCTGCAGGGCCACACCAGACAGATTTCATTTCTTCAGCTGGGCTCCACTCCGAAAAACACATCTTTTAACTGAAATCATCGTTCACCCAAGACGTTTTTCACATGCAAAGTTAACCCCACCTAGTTTCCTATTCGAAAAACCTCAAAGCATGTGAACGACAACCTCATGGCCTACGTAAGAAAGTTCAATCATCTGCATCCTGAAGGTGCTTGCTATTATTTCCTCCTTCCCATATGTGTAGGTGGAGACTACGAACAACATTTTCAAGAAATCACAAAATTTTTATAAAAGGAGTCTTAAAATTATCAAGTCAGATTGCCCTTTCTGGACAGACAATGAAATAAAGAAACAGACAGGAGGGATCTGGCCCAAAGTTACATGGTTGGTGATAGATACAATTGGATTCTAGACTTTAGAATATCAAGTTCTGTCCCAGGACTCAGGACTGACATTTCAGGGGCCTTATTTGGGCGTGGGGACAATCCAATGATACACTTAAAAACTCATTATATGTACAAGTGACTTAGGCACAGCTGAGAAATATGAGCACAATAATATCAACAAGGCAAAATGCATTCGACAGTTTTACTTTGTCCTACTGGAGAACACAACCCAAACTTAATTAACGAAGGGGGCAACTTTAGTGAAGACACAGCATAGTTATACTGCCCTTGCTATTTCCTGCCTGTACATTAAGATCTTTTTTAGTATTCTGGATAGATACTTCTGTTTTTTTACTTCATCTTTTGCCTTAGCTATAAAACTTTTTCTTTAAGTTCTGGGTAAGAAATATTTAAAGATTTCTGAAGAGAATGTTCCCAAATGTTGTCAGGTATTATCTTTCTCAGTTTCCTGTCAGTGATGATAGGGTAAGAACTGTACCTTCTCCTCACTCCCTCCACCACCACCTTGTCCTCCCCACAGCTCCTCAAAGCGAGAAGGGAAGGGATGCCTGGGATAGTAAGGTACCGCTTCCTTAGCTCTGGCTCCTAGGGTGAGCTACAAGTTATAGCCAGTAAGCCAAGTCCAACCAGGCCCCTTAGAAATCTGTGGGAGACAGCTTAGAATACCACCTCCACCTCTCTTGTAGCTTCCAATACTCCGCAGCAGCTCAAGCTGCTCTGGGATCCAGCTGGAGGTGGGTGGTCTTCATTAAGAACATCACCTGAGCCTTCTTCTCCAGGGCCTGGCACCTCCAATCGGAGTATCAGAGCTCTGGAGCAAATTCTTAAGATTTAGGAACTAACTCATTCCCACTTTCAAATTTTCACCTGATTCCACTTGGCTGTGGCGACTGTAGGCAGGGTCACCCCTGAGGGCTGGGGCTGGGAAGGCATACCCAAGATGTGTCTACGCGTGAAAGGAGGGTTAAAAAAGGGCCCAGACTTTCCTCTCTTGGGTAAGGAATATTTGATCCACAAAAAAGGAAATCCCCAGTTCTTAGCGTCTCTAATCCTAAGAAGGTGAGTTTGAAATTTTGCAAAATTAAAATACAACTCATGTTTCTTATAAATATATAACTTTATATATGTATTTACAACATATACAGTATACAAATATTTTAAACGTAATACTAAGAACAGTCTTGAAGCTAGGCGTGGTGGTGCACGTCTGTAATCCCAGCACTTGGGAGGCTGAGGCAGGGGGTTCAGGGCCAGCCTGGGCTACAAAGTGAGCTCAAGGCTGCACTGAACTGCACAATGAAACCTGTCTCAAAAGGACAAAAAAGTCTTGAAAACAGAGATCTAAGGTAGATTCCTGACTCAGACAATGCCCCAGGCCCAGATTTCTATGTAAGTCAAAGGAAGAGAAGGGGTTCTACAACATGATCTCAGTATCCTCCCTTCCCTAATACCCTGGCCTTCTACTGGCACCAGCTAGCATGGTCCCAGGTGTACCCCCAAACAGGCAAAGCCTAGGGCCTGAGCAAAGTGCCTGGCATGCTGTTAGTCACCAGTTCTAAGGTAACATTTCCACAATCTGGAAGACTCGGCCCCAGAGCAAAGGCTGGTCTAGAAGCAAGTGCTGTAAGGGTTTAACTATCTAAGTTAAAAGTCCACACATCCAGGTGCCAAATTAATTCAGCCACAAACTGCTATTTCCTCCCCAGGCTTTGGAATCTGGAAGCCCTTGGTCACAATGCCACTCATCTTCCAAAAGTTTCTTCACATTCAACCAATTCATCTATTGTGTGCAACAAGTCTTCAAACGAAGGCCTTGCCTCTGGTTTCTACAATTAAAAAAGAAAAACAGTGCATGTCAGAATTCACTCCAGAAAAAAGGTCTTATTGCTCCAACTCCTACAACCTAGCAGACTACAAAGAGGAAATCACAGCTTTGGGACTGAAAGATGCAGGCATCTCCACACATGTCTGTCTCTGCTCTAATTACCTCCCCGTACTGCTGCTAGACTAATGTCTCTATGATAACGCTTTCATGACCCCACTGAAGGACCTCCAGGAATTCCTTTGTGCCTGTGAAATCAAGTCCTGCTCATTTACAGGGCCTCTGTAACCTGCCCTTCCCCCATCCTTTGTTACCCAATTTCATTTCCCACAGACAGCTCCACACGGGTGCTCTTCTAAATCTGACTAATCTCCACCCTCGAGTATGCACTGTTTATAACCACCTCCTCACCTATGTGCTGTTCTCCTTCTGCCCCCAGTACCACTTCCTGCCCAGAGACTCTGCCCACCCCAGTCAGTGCTCTTGGGAGGTGGTAGGTGTTACAGCAAGTGACAGTGAGGCTGAGCTCTGGGGTCAGACAAGCACCTAATGTTCTGTAGCTAAATGGCCAGGGCAAGGATCAAACTCCTAAGCCCAAATCTTCTCATCTACAAAGTGGTCACTGTAAAAGCTTCCACACCTGAAAGGGTTGTTTCAAGAACTAAATCAAAAGGACTCAGTACAGGGCCTAGTCCACAACACACGTGAGTTAATGTCATTGTTTTTCAAAAGTTGTTTTGGTGTCTAATCTCTTCTGTGAAGTGACATTCCAGAATTTCCTGAGACTGACTAAGGGGGATAATGGGAAGTTAAGTTTGGAGGGAGAAATTCTCCTTGGTGCACGACTGATACTTCAACTCCACAAGCGACTCACAGGAAGGAACGGAACAATTTCTCCAGGCCTAGCTCCTGTCCCTGGCTCAGCCAGCAGTGGGAAGATTGCCATGTGGGACTGAGGGACCAGCCTGAATTTATTAAATTAATTACTGATGTTTTCCAGGTCTTTTCATTACTCAGAACTGACTTGAGGGGGTTGGCTTCCCACCTCCAGCTTGAATTCACCAAGATACAAAGGCTGTGTGCTATTTACCCACTGAGCCCAACCCCCAAATGTTTCAGAGACTCGATAAGAAAAAGAGAAATATCGGGGCTGGGGATTTAGCTCAGCGGCAAAAGCGCCTGCCTGGCAAGCGCAAGGTCGTGAGTTCGGTTCCTGGTACCGGAGAAAAAAAACAAAAAAACAAAAAAACAAAAGAAAAAGAGAAATATCTATACCTCCTGCCAACATCTCACCATCACCTCATACACATATTTGGATGCCAGCTTCGGCCGGTAGAGTCGGTGGCCTCGTGTAACCATGGTTACCACTTCATAATTGGTGTTTTTCTCAAAGGGCATTCTGCCTTCAGTGAATACTTCCCACATTAAAACACCTGAAAAAGGATAAGGGTTACAGAATGTGCTGGTTTCCTCCTCAATGCAGAACTGAGGAAATGTGGAGCACGGAGCTTACCAAAGGACCACACATCAGATTTGCTGCTAAAACGGCTGTAATTAAACACTTCAGGCGGACACCATTTCACGGGGAATTTAGCACCAGAAGAACTTGTGTACTGATCATCCAGAACATACCTAGAGAAAGAACACCATGGGTTTGCGCCTCTAAAGTATGAACTGTATTTTCCACATGTGCTTTCATCTTTCTCCTTTATAATAAAAAACACACTTGACTAAAGTCCCGTCAGCATCTGGTTGAAGCTAAAGGCCACCTCAGTGACCACACCTGGTAATTTCCGTCTTCCTCTCAGCATAATTTAGGGGCATGAGAGGGACATATCACAATGTTAGTATCCACATTTTCATTTTTATATTCATCTTTTTATTTTATTAGGCAGTAGGGGCAGAATACAATAAAACAGCTTGCAAACTTTTTTAAAAACAATTTTTCTCTTTAACCAAAATCTTACCCACAGGCCCACATGCGAAAGGAGAGATGCCCTAAAGGGAGTGGTGACCAGGGTGCAGACACACATGCTTTGAGCACCCCATGACTCCTCAGAGCACAACTTAAAACAACAGCATATGAAAAGGCAAATTACACAGGCAAAATGCCTGGGCATGGTGCAGGTCTCTAATCCAAGCACTTGGGAGGCTGAGGCAGGAGGATCACCATAAGCTCAGGGCCAAGCTGAGCTACACAGTGAGTTTGAGGCCAACTTGAACTACAAAATGAGACCCTGTCTAAAAAAATAAAAAAAGGCAAAATGAAGTATGTAAATGGTAGTGTATACATTTATATATCACAATATCCTCACTCACACAATCAGAACAATACCGTATCATTTTTCTATGTGTGCACACACTTATGTCCTTCTGGAAGGACACACAGAATCTAGTAACAGTGGCTCTTTCTGGGGAGACTCTTTGATTAGGGATGGCAGATGTGAGGGCTTCAGCCCTTCCTGTAATGTGTTCTGTACATATTTATAAGAGGATTGTATCTATTATTATATGTGCTAGTCATTTCCAAAAGTTGCCATGAGAAAATGTTCAAATAAATGCAGAAATTTCCTCTGTTGTACTAGATAGACAAAGATGGTCACTGGCAGACAGTGCTACCATGGGCCGGGTCGAATCGCTGTCCATGAGGGGAGTCTAAAATTACTACATAAAGAGTGTTTTAACAGTAGATAATATGCAAAACAGATTTTCTAAAAGCCAAATATCTGAAGAAGGAACATATGAAAATGGCAGACTGGCCATCAGATCCTCAATGTCTATATGAAGCCACAGAGAGTACTGGGCAGTTAACACCCCCAGGGCCAGAGGTGGACAGTGACAGCTCACTGACCTCCCTATCCTGAGCTTCCTGAGGAGCTGTCCTTGGCTCCCTCGGGCCTGGTCCCTGGCTGCCAGTTTGACTGTTCCCAGTGCTGCCTATGGGCCAGCTATCTGGTCTTCTTCTAGTTCCCTGAGCAGCTTAAACTCATCTCAGACATCAAGCTTGGCCCTTGTCACTCCTTCCACCTGGAACACTTCATGCCTAGATTTTCACCTAACTGATTACTTCTCCCTTTGGGTCTCTACTTAATCTCAGAAGGTCTTCCTGGCCACTAGATCTAAGGAGCAGCCATCACTCCTGCTCCACCCGAAATTCTCTCCTTGAAGAGGTGGATGTTTTCCTGAAAAGGGCCAGGTATTATGTCTAGTCATTTGGATTCCACAGGCCACACAGTTCCTGGGACAACTTTCAACTGCACCTATGCTGCCGCCACAGACCACACACTGGCAAATATGCAGTGCCCTGTCTCAACAACACTACTTTCATGAACACTGACTTTGGCATTTCAGATAATCTTCAGCCTAGTCTTTGAATTTTCTTCAACCATTTAAAAATGCAAACTCCATTACTGGCTCACAGGCCAAACAGGTGTAGGTGAGATCAACAGGTCATCACCTGCTGGCTGGCCCTGCTCTGACATACATTACTCGCAGGTCTTATGTTTCTCCTTCCTCCAGAGCAGACGGTGCATGTGGGTCGGGTGCACAAAGCTCAGTCTCCGCTGTGGTTCCTGTGGTTGTGCCTGGCATGTAACAGGCACCTAATTTTTATGTACAGAAATGGATAGAGCCAAAAGAAAGAGACACACTAAATGCTTTTTATGGTCTCTTCTAACACTCCACTAAAACTACAAAAATTAAGCGAACAAAACACGACAGATGTAGTTATGTATGTATCTGACCACCAAACAACGTCTTGTGAAAGTGAAGGTGAAAAGTTGTGTATTTAGCAGGCTCTACTACCACCTAGTGGAGAGAATTATTAACACCACAATGTATGGTTATTTTAACACATTTGTCTCAGAATTGCTAAGATTTCCTTATTAATTACCACACTTATTAATTCTACATAACACTGTGTGTGTGAATGTCACCTCCAAGCACAGGTACTCAACCATACCTGGCCATTCCAAAATCGGACACTTTCACAACTCCTGCCTCGTTCACTAGACAATTTCTTGCAGCCTAGAAAACATTAGAGTGGCATATTAGTTTAAAAAAATTCCACAAGAACAGTAGAAAAATATACTTTCTGCTATCATTTAGTATAATTCATTCAATATTTACAACAAGTAGGAATGTCTTCATATAAATTACTTTTATCCTCATGAAAGTATCTCCAGTGTATATATGAAATAACAGGTAG